TGCGTTTCGCGACCACGCCCCCCCGCGATCCTGGAGACGGTTGAGACGCTTTTGAGACGCGAAGACGCAACACAAGTCCAAAAGTGACGACAGTTTTGCGTTTTGCGACCAGGACCCCCCCGATCCTGGAGACGGTTGAGACACTTTTGAGACGCGAAGACGCAACACAAGTCCAACAGTGACGACAGTTCTGCGTTTCGCGACCAGGACCCCCCCCGATCCTGGAGACGGTTGAGACAGTTGAGACGCGAAGACGCAACACAAGTCCAAAAGTGACGACAGTTCTGCATTTCGCGATGATTTTCGGCCGCGGACGCTTGCCAACTTTGGTGAACGCTTGCAGACGCTTGCGAACGCTGGTGAACGCTTGCGGACGCTTGCGAACGCTTCGCACGGATTTCGCGTCAATTCCCCACCCCCAGACCCCCAACCTCAAAGCGAGTACCCTTCTGCTGCGCATTCAGGAACATGCTCCTCGTCATGTGATTCAAGCAAATCCAAGCAACCCCGCCGCCCTTCAATTGATGTTAAAACCTAATCGAATGATAAAAATGTATTGCGTCACAGGCCATCCAATCTTTGGTTAGGGGACTTTATGATGATATAAAAATACACCACTTGTGTCCCACTACGACCATGCCTTCGTGTGATCGTCGGCTGACACAGAGTTTTTCTGGCTCTGTTCAAGTTGATTGCACAGGTCACTGTGACAACTAGAGCTTTAAACGCTTGTGATGGGACTGATAGTACTTTATGTTTGTGGTTCACTACCCTTATGACTGCAGCCGACAACTTTGTTTGGGCAGCGTTGGACACATCATTGGGAGCTAAGGCAATGTGGATGTCTGGGGCCTTGGAGTGCTCCTGTACGAGTTTATGGTTGGCAGGCCGCCGTTTGAGGACCGCGGGTGAGTCAAAAAAGAGCTGCTCAGAAGGATAACGTGTTGAATGCAGGATACGAGCGAGAAGGGCACTTACCGGAAGATCAAAACTGGTATGGTGCAGTTTCCTCCGAACATGACGAAGGTGGGCAGAATCAACTTAACACGTGCGCAGTAAACCAGCAAATTGCAGGAAGCAAAGGATCTCATCGGAAAGCTACTCACGAAGCCTTCCGGCTGCAAAGCGGTGCGCATTGGCTGTCTTGTAAAAAGCGACAACAGCCGAGCCGGGTGTTGAGCTCCCCCTCCCAAACCCAGTATCGAGTTTCTGCTTGTTGCAAGGAATCCAAGCGATAGGCTCTCGCTGGATGCAGTGCTGCGTCACCCATGGGTGTCCATCAACACGAGTGGCTGCTTTGTTGCAAAACTTCGAACTGCAGAGGACGAATTCTGTTGACGCGAAGGCGTTTCTGTGGCAGCCAAGGAGACAATGCTAAACGACTCCACGAATACTATGGAGGAATTATGTAGGTTGCCGTAGAAGCTGCAAAGCATTGGTCCCAAGCAAATGGCAGCAGCTGACTTATCTGATTGTTCACTCAGTAGAAGTGCAGACATGCATGGGGCGCTGTTCAGCTAATTCGTCTCCGGTGGATTCAGTCTGGGTTTCCTAGCCACACCGTCCCTTTGAGCCCAGACTGCATCCATTTCGCCCTAACAATGGAGAGCATGTTAATTCAGAAGCAGCCATCGGCCTCCGCCGGGCTCCAAAACACCACGGTGCTGCGTCTGCCTGTCAAGCTGCGTGCCAACACATGTCTTTCCAGAGAAGGCCCAGACTGGATGCTTGAGAGCTTGAACCCGCACAGTCAGAGTGCAAATCTTCAGGTCCTTCTTCATGGAACACGTGTACAACTGGAGTCCGACCCTCAGTGATCGCGCTTGGACTTCTTTCAATGCTTGGGTCTGTCATTTCTACGTGCTCTGAAGCATCTAGCAGAAGCTGTTTAAGGTACCACAAGGCACCTCTCTTCGCAGCAGAGGACTCAGAGTCCCGCAGTTAACATGCACCTTCGTCTTGCAGTGCAAAGCCTACCACTTTTTGTTGTCAGTGCTGATGCAAGCAGCTCGTAGCATAGAGGGTGACATCACGAGTCAGAAGTGTACTCACATGTCAGAAGTGTACTGCCTCAGTTGTTGCATACAGTCGATGTGTCTGGCGGCCAGATAAGATGCAATCCCCGGCACCTTCTGGCTCAACTCATCTAGTTGCCGGAACGCGGCCATGACAGTCAAAACCGCCAGCAGCGCAGCACGTGAGCCTTCCTGAGCAACCTATACCAGGCTGATGCCGATACCTGCCCCACCGTACAGAATCCTACCCAGACTTCACAAGCTCGGTAGGAGATGTCAAATCTGATTTGATGCTCTGATGGGCAGCCCAAGTTTTGGACCCTAGCCATCCCGGCAAGGTGGGCGGAGACGTGTTAGATGCTGGATATGCTGGCCTGTTGTCACATGTTGTCAGGTCCACCCCAAGCACCATGCCCAGCATGGCTGTGCCTGCGGGCAGACAGGCCAACTCCCGCGTTGTAGCGCAAAGGAGTTTGTACTACTTGGGCGGCTTTAGCATTTTGGGAGGTCTACCCAATCTCTCGACAGGACTCACGGCCCACGCCCTTTTCTCAGTTTAAACCCCCGGCCTACACTTCCAACCAGCTGTTGCGCAGCTCTCTGGCCATGAGGTGGCGTCTCCCGGAGGCTCGCTCTGCCAGCCCCTGCGGTGACGTGGCAGGAAATACGGTTGCTTCTGGGACATGTCACCGCACAGCCAGATGCACAATGATCTTTGCACACGCCACTCTCACACGCCCGGCTTGCCTCTCCTAGCAAGGGAAGCGGTTGACAAAAACATGTTGCGACAAGAGCATGTTGCCTTCCAAGGCCGAGCAGTTTGGGTGCCTGATGCTGAGAGCACGGCATCTATTTTGTGGCAGAAGCGCTGAATCGCGCGGATGGCACAGCCAGCCTGAAGCTCTGTCCGAGGCATGGCATGAGGCCTGTGCCGAAGCCGCTGCCCCGCTCTCAGTTGTAGATGCATGTGGTGGACCTGATCGATTTTGACAATGTCAAGGCTGGCCTTTGGCACGCCACCCCGTACTCCAAGAACTCTCTGGCCTGGCTCTTCATGAAGTTCACCTCAAGCCATAGTCCCCTGAAGTAGATAGAATATGAGGAAGAATATGGAATATGGGGGTCTTCTTCTGATATTGGGCAATTTCCTAGTCTACCTGCCTAATGGGGATTTTAGGCTGAAGATCAGCTGAAGTACGGCAGAAGCGAGGCAAGGGAGGCCTGTGGGCGCGCATGTGGCGCAACCTGATCGGGTGACCTGGACGAGGTCTGGTACACCATCACATGGGTGGTTGTCAAAATTATGGTTCCTTTTTGGGTACCCTAAATATTAGGTGCCGTATCATATTAGGGATCCAAAAAGGGACCCTAATTTTGACAACCACCCATATGAACCACAATCTAAACTCCTTAAAGGGGGTTACGTAAGGTTTTTTATAGGGGACTGCTATCAGGGACATTTAGGGGGATACCAGGAGTTTAGCCTATGGCTCATACATACGGATTCTATAGGGCTTATATAGGATCATAATGGGGTTATGTAAGAATTACAAAGGGGTTATATAGGATCATATAGGGTTGTTGCTACAGCTACTTTAGACTGCGCCCGCATGAAAGGCAAATGTGGACTGCAATGCCAAAGCCGTGGTGAGCTAAGAGTTGATATCTGGCTTGTTCTACTTGACGCGTCCGCTCCCCAATCTCTCTTCCTGCTCAGGTGCCCTGCCGCGGCTCAGGTGCAAAGCTTGCGAGCTTTGGCCTCAGAAACCAAGCCAATAGCAAGGGGTTGGCCGTCTGACAACACATGGCATACAGTTCAGGGAAGGGCTAGTAGACACCTAGCACTGGTAGCGCACCATTGCATTTGATACGAGTAACGTTAGTACCTGTGCATGCTACTTCGGCTGAGTTGCAGGTTTTGCAGCCATCGGCAGAGAACCACTACAAGGCCTCGGCTTTATCCCCAATGGTTTAGGTGTACATTGCAGCAGCGCACATTGCCGAGTCAACTATGAAGACTTCTAGCTCTGGATAGCAGAGATTGATGACAGGTGTCGGAGACTATGCGGGCACGGCGACACTCTGCGCACATGCCTCATGCTTGTGAATGCTTTTCCCTGACTTCCTCTTGGTCCTGGCAAGCATGTTTATTTTCTTAGCTAATTAACCTGTTGCAAGACGGGAATGCGTGACAACTCTGCGTGACAAATCAGCATTGCACAGAGTATGTTCGCTCCGGGATAAGCCCTTTGACAATTGCTCTTTTGCACGTGGCTGGCACACTATCACACTGGAAGCCAACTGAATTTCGGTTGGTGCACTTGCCGGATTTGTGCTGCAAGTTGTTTTCGCTTTGGCAAGTTCCTGACTTATCTTGATGCAACTTTGTGCAAGGCCCTTGCAAACTTGCCTTGCGCCCGCCGGCGGTTCAGCCGAGATCTCAGCATTTGCTGCAGCCTCGAGCCAGACAGATGCTGGCACGAGACGATGGACAGCTTTTCAAGGCTCAGTTCCGGCCTGGAGGGGCCCCGCCAGTACAGGCCACAGAAAGCAGCTGACACTTGAACTGCTTTACCCTTTGGAGTGCTGCTAGCGTTGGCTATTTGTGGCATGATGATAGGCATGGCACTTCGGAATCAGTTCAGGGCGCGGGCACGTTGCGTGCAGGAGATGCACCATCACTTCGCACCTGGTCTTGCTGTTCGGCCGGATGCCAAACGCATCTCTATCTCTTTAAATGATGCGGAATAGTAGGATCAAGTGTTAGGCAGCCGACGCCCGAACCAAGGGGCGCAACGCCGCTTCGGCAGGAGTTCATGAGAGTGCTGATGTGTCCTACTCTTAACGGTACGTGCTGAAACTGTGAGGATGCAATGACGTCCTCACACGTCATGTGCAAGTCTCAGCCTGGAAGCCATGTTAACATTTGCGACTCAAAAGCGCGTCAGTATGACCCAGGAAATCAGCAGACTCTCTTGTGACTGGCTGCCCCTCAGCAGCATTCCCTCGAAGCTTAATCACTTTACAATCTACAAGGTCACTTCGATGTGCTCAGACTGAACCTAGAAAACAATTGTGCGACGTGAGCCCAGGCTTCAAGAGCAGCCCCAGCAACCGTGGATGTGTGTGGGCATCTCCAACAGTGTCATGCCGCACTATGCTGAGCAGCTTCACAGCTCTCATCGAACGTGTCCTGCATGCATGGAGATGGTGAATGACGGTGATCGAGGTCTGATGCCGTCAGGTGACCGCCCTGTGGTGGTGGTGTCACCACCTACAAATCACCGACAAGTCAGGCTGGACATGCTAGACGTAGAGGTGCTTCGGAAAGCACTCGGCAGTTTGGCGTTCAGGACTGATGTGGGCTTGGCAGCTCCCAGGCTGGCAGGGCCCGATGACAAAACGCATCAATTCATCTCTCCGAGTGTTTTGTGAGGCATTCTGGAGCTTCGTCGGAGAGGCGGGATGCGTCTGAAGCCCTCCAGTCTTCATGATGTCCATGCTATACCAGGACGCTGCAGTCTGATGACACGCAGTCAAAGGCCATCAGCCATGTAGCTGACATATGACATATATGTGACACCCCGGGACAATCTTGCTTGTCTGCGGCAGACTCTGCAGTCTTCTTCTTGCCAGACGTCACATGTGGTGCCTTGGATGCATGCAGACGCGCTGTATGCTTTGCACCCTCAGTCCAAAAGCAAAGCAGTCTCGTGGAAAAAGTCCTAGGACCAAATACGCTCCGAAATGATGGAGCTGCTGGAGGCCCCTTCTGCAAACATCGAGTTGAGCAACTTTACCAGAGACGAGTACTTGCCCTTTTGCATGCGAAAGGATAGAGAGCGTTGTCACCAGCGGCAGCTGCAGAACCTCCACAACTTCCAGCAGGCAGTGAAAGCGAAGAGGCTTGTGTTGGAGCTGGGGCCACCACTACAGTATCTCCAACAGGAGCGAGAGCGGGACCACCAGCGCCAGCTTCAACAGATGCGCAAAACGCACGAGGTGCCGGGATGGTTCCGCAGTCCAAGGTGCATGAGTGAGTGGAATGTCCTCTGATCTGTGATGGGAGTCAGTCCTGCATCCGTCACGTTAAATCATGTGTGTTGCGCAGGCGGACATGAGGAGACTGGAGGCAGCGATGGCTGTGACCGACTTGTACTGTTGGCTCTCGCTGGTAACTGTCAAGAACAGGGCCTTCTTGCAGATCACAGACTAATCAGCAGCACCAAGGCCTGCATGGAAAAGCATCCAGCTTTCACGACTACACCATGATCCGTTTGTACTATCCTTGTCCTCTCTCTCATTCCTGCTCCTGCGTGCTCTGCTGGTCAACTCGTGGTGGCCTGGTGCTCCAGTTACTGGTCTGTACGGATGCTGCAACATGCCAATCACTGTGCTGGCCTGGCGCCTCATAGTTTAAAAGCCTCTATAGTATAGCTGCTTCGTAGCAGTCCTGGCCAGCAAAGATAGTTGTCAGCTGTCAAACGTGGCATTATGGCAATGTTATTGCCTGCCAGGAAAAGCTTTGCAAGCTGTTGGCTGAACGACAGGACTGGATCATCAGAACGCTGTAGCTTGAGATCAGGGCTGGAGACGTAGATGGGTGGTGCGTAGAGGCCCTGATGATGTTTCCCACCAAATTGGGAATCTTCACATGTTTATCCTTATTGGACCAACGGTAATTGAAAGACGCCGCGCGCTGGCCAAAACAGGGAGCTTTAGAGTTTTCGTCGTTCCAGTACTCTCTGAAGGAGATTGGATTCTTTGGTGGAGCTGCGTGGCCTGGCTTCATCCGGAGTTCTGATACGCAGGAATCGCTGTGGGGCTATCTGTTGTCTGAGGAGTGGCAGTGCTGCCACGCCACCAACTGCCAAGGCTGAGAGGGGATGAGGGGGAGAATCTATGTTATATGGGCATAATGGAAAATGAGGTGAAAACTATTTCATAATGGGGTATATATTGGGGATATATATATATATACTTAAAGAGATTTAAAGAGCCTCCGGCTCAGTCCGCCGACCCGCAGACTGGACTTGCGAAACCGAAGCGCGACGTGCAAGAGCGACAATTATAATAGGAAGGGAATACGAATATTTACGTTGGCACGGGCAATTTCTATAAAATTGGGCGTTTGAATATGAAAAAATGAGATATTCGAAGATGCAGCGAAGCATATTGGATTTAGGGTTGAGGGGATTTTCGCGCTGACGTACGGAGCGATGGGGCACGGATTGCTCAAATCTATTCTTAGTCCGTCGCACGCGCGTGCGAAGGGCGGGGGACTGGGCGCGTTGAGATTGCTCGAAATGGCCAAAGGGGACGTTATACGCATCACGTTGCGCATTGACGTTTATATAGACCTAAAAATTGAGGCGGCGTTGGGGCAGGGCACGTTAGTGTTAAGCTCCGCAGTCATGGACGGAGATATGATGATTATTACTCCTAGGTTGTGGGGCAATACGCCGGTTGTCTGATCCCATATAAAGACTGAATACCGGATATTGAGATGTATAGGGAGATCATATGATGATTCGTCCGCCTTGGTTGCCACATTGGGATCTCGTCTTCTTTTATCAACGTCTTCCAGATAGCGGACAGCAACGTTGAGGGAGGGGACTTCTCAGGCGATTCCATATTGGCTAGAACTATTACGATAGCAGAAGCAAGCCCAGGCCGGAGAATAATATTTATGATTCTTGAAGCAGAGGTAATCATGATTGACACGAAATTCTTAGACTGCATTGCGCATAGGAAATCAAACGATGCAAGAAATCAGATTTGCTGGAGCGTCTCAAGATCAATACGACCTGTCGTTTCTCAATCTCTTGGCGGGCATCTGGCAACAAGCCAAGGTTACGGGCTTGGGGCCGGCTCCCAGGGGCTTGGG